TAAATTTTTTCATTTTTGGGTTATGTTGAATAAGTTTTTAAATATGCTAGTTTTCTGCTTTCAAGCCTTTCTTATATTTATTTCAACAAATACATATATGTTACATATAAATTACATATATGTAGTTATGTATATACAATTTTTTGTTTTCTGCTTAATTATTTCAAAATTGTTTTTGGAAATTTTGTCTGTTTTTGCTGGTTTTGATGCAGAGAGCCTTGTTTTCTTTCATGTTTTGTGATTTTTGACTGAACTGCTCATTATTTTTGGAAACTTGAGCTGAAGTTAAATTTCCCAAAAAGGATACATGTTTGTTTCTAACAGTGATTTTTTAAAAATTCTCTCTCAAGGTTTTAGACTGTGTACTATAATTTCCTAAAACAAATCTATATGAAATCGAAACCACCTTGTGGTTACAGATTCTCCAGAGATTTGTCCCTTTCCACCTCATTCCAGAATTGAAAATGGCACGTTTTCTTGCTGTTATTTTCAGTAAAATAGTCTTTATCTCTCATTAATTGTTATTCAGAGCATATACTTTGAGGTCCTAGTTTTACACAGATTTCTCCTATTAGAGTTCCCATGTTATGTGGGCCTAGGGATTTATTTCCTATTCTCTGCAATCTTTAAAATAGTCTTCAAAACAGAAGCTTAAGGTCTCCAGCATTTAGCAGATACCGTCAGGGGGAATCTTTGAGATAAAAATTGGATTTGGTTCTCATCTGATTTTGGCATTCTGGATTTCCCAATTTGGGGGCTGGGAATTGCCCTACCAAGTTTTTGTTTTTGTTTGTTTTGAGGGGTGTCAGTTTAACAGTGAATTTTATTTGTATTTACCTTTTTACTACTTTTTCAGAATGTTACTTCTTTCACTGTGGAAAGTAACATGAAATATCTGATCTCTCAAGTTACATACCAAAACCTAAATCCAGGATTTTTTTTTTAAAGGCAGAATTTTAATCTAATGAAAATCCAAAGCACAGAATACAGCGGACTATGTCAACACTGAGAGAAAAAGGTTGTGCTTTTAATCTTAATTGATGCATGTTTTATCTTTTCACCTAATCCTCTTTTAAGGAGCATTTTCAATTTATAATAATTTAAATTTAGAACTTTTTCA